CCCCTCCTCCCCTCTTATTCCTGCTGTCTATGTGATTTAGATTCTTTATTTTTATTTTTTAAATGTTATTTATTATTTTTATTTTATGTGTATGAGTATATTGCTTGCATGTATATATGTGTACTCATGTTGTGCAGTGCCCAAGGAGGTCAGAAGAGGGTGTTGGATCTTCTAGAACTACAGTTATGGACAGTTGTTAGCTGCCATGTGGGTGCTGGGAATGGAATCCAGGTCCTCTGGAAGAGCAGCCAGTGCTCTTAATTGCATTCTGAACCATCTCTTGAGCCCTGTAATTTAGATTCTTTTTTTTTTCTTTTGGTCTTTTTGAGACAGGGTCTCCCTGTAGCCCCAGCTGGCCTAGAACTCACTGTGTAGACCAGGCTGGCCTTGAACTCACAGAGATCCGCCTGCCTCTGCCTCCCAAGTGCTGGGATTAAAGGCATTAAGTACCTCATGCATAAGGAATTCGGATATGTGATTTTCTTATTTGAGTGATACTCTTTTTGTTATTATAATTGTGGGTTTTAGCACGGTTCTGAGTTACGTATTGAGAGAGGGAGGAGTGCTTTTGAGGAATGGGTTTTATAAGAAAGAAGATATGTTTATTTTTGGGCATTTGTAAATAAATGCTTTGTATTAGTTTGTGCAAAAGCTTCTTGCAACTTCTTAGTAGAGCAGGGTGATGAAACTCTAGGAGTTGGTACTGTCTTGAATTTTTGGGGACCATTGTGTGAAAGGAAGTAATGTTTTTTATAACTGCATGCATTTCAGTATGAGCAGAAAGGGAAATAATCATTGACTAGCTCACTTGTTACTTTCCTTTTTTAGCCAGAAACAATTTCAGCATTCACTTCTGATCCAGCACTTCTATCATTTGCTGAATATTTCTGCAAACCAACTGTGAACATGGGTCAGGTAAGTATTACATGGTTTGCTGGACTTCAGGACAAGACTTTATTAGTTCTATCAGCAGACAACATCTGTAATACCCATACCTCCCTTTGAAATTGATGACACCTTTCAAATGTGATAGATGAATTTTGCTTGGCAAATACAGATCATCATGAAAACGTAAATTCAGTAGCTTTATGCCTTAGTAGGGGAAATAAACTAAAATTTCTAAGGCATCTGCTTTAAAGGATGATAGTTTCTTGTGTCCATTTAAAAAAACTTTTATTATTTTTATTTTATGTGTGTGAGTGTATTGCCTGCAGGTATGTAAGTGCACCCGTGTTGTGCAGTGCTTGCAGAGGTCAGATCCCCTGGGTCAGGAGTTACGGACCTTTGTTAGCTGCCATGTGGGTGCTGGAATTTGAACCTGGATCCTTTGCAAGAGCAGCCAGTACTCTTAACCACTGAACCATCTCTCTATCCCTTTGTAACCGTTTTTTAAAAGCATTTGCTTTCAATGTTTAGCTCCTTTCTTACATTTGTATAACTCTACTGGTTTTGTTTCCTCTGTGTATTAGAACCCTTCTTTCTGTTGGTTACCCAACTAGTTTTTTCAGAATTCCAATTAGTGTCCAGTTACCTTTGATTCAACCCATTGTGTAGACAAGGAAAGAGCAGGTTATAGTAATTAGGTGATTCGAGGTTGAAGCCTGTCTGCAAGTATATGTGGTCTTTGGAATAGTTCAGCCTCTCTTAGAGGTTGTTTCTTCATTCTATAGTAAGATTATTTTAGGGCTGGAGAGGTGGCACAGCCATTAAAGGCTCAGGCTCACAACTAAAGTGAGATTATTTTAGAACCTACCTTATAGTGTTGTTCTGAAGGTTAAGTGAAATAACCTTCCTTTCTTTTATTTTTTGTGTTCTCACTACATATTATACACTCAGCTGAGTATTTTACGTAAATCGACTACTTTTACCTTTTGACACTTGTCTCTTGAGTTGATTTTGGAATATACTTTGATATGCCACTAAATACTTGTGATTTTTCTACAGAAACAGGAAATTCTGGATCTTTTTTCTTCAGTACTCTATGAATGTGTTACTCAGGAGACACCAGAGATGTCGCCTACATACATAGCAATGGATCAGATGCCACTAAATACTTGTGATTTTTCTACAGAAACAGGAAATTCTGGATCTGTTTTCTTCAGTACTCTATGAATGTGTTACTCAGGAGACACCAGAGATGTTGCCTGCATACATAGCAATGGATCAGGTATGAGTCCAGTAACTTGTTTTGGTTCTGATTAGTTTGATCTTGTATTTTCAGTGACCTACTCAGCAGTGTGGGGAAGTCCCCTGTGTTCTAACTTTGAGTTTCTTGCTTTTAGAAGTCTTATAAAGGAAGCATTCCCAGTTGACAACTCTAGGTAGATCCATAAAGACTGGACTTAGTGCTAACAGGAGCATTCCTAGGGAGGCTACATTCCTTGGGGGGAGGGATCCTCCTCCTCTTTTCTGTCTTCCTCCTCTGCCTCCTGGAGGAAGAGAACATTTCTTCCCTTACCCTGAGCATTCTTGTTGGTCTCTTGCCTATCTTCTGGATAGGCCACAAATGAGCAGTGAGCCAGTAACTGATAATGAAAAGTTTACAGACTGCCATTGGGACTCTGGTCTCAAGCCAAAGAAATAATCTCTGATGGTAAAAAAAATAAATAAATAAAAAACTACCTAAAAACTGAGTAGGGAAATACATTTAACTAGGAGATAATTTCCCAAGCGTGAAAATTCCAATGTGTAAAGAAGCATTCTCAGTTAAAACCCACATTTCAGTAGAAGCACTTGGTCCCAGAATGCTGTTCTGTGTGGAATCTGCCTTTTCTCGTTTGAAAAGAGTGATCTGTGCTATCTGTACTTGCTTCTTTCTGCACAACAACTAAGTTACCGGCTTCTCAGTTGTTGGTTGAATGTTTTTTTGTTTTGTTTTGTTTTTTTTTTTTTTTTAAAAAAAAAAAAACCTTTTTTTAATTTTTTTTTTTATTTTATGAATATGCATGTATTGCCTACATGTAGGTAAATGCACCTGTGTCATGCAATGCCCCCAGTGATGAACCATCTCTCCAGCCTAGCTGATTGAGTGTTTTTAAAAACTTAAAAACTCTGGGAACCCTCACCCCTCCACAGTCAAAGACAGTCTCCATGGATGAATGTCCCCTTCAGTGACTTTACAGATGGACATTCTCTCCCTCTCTCTCTCTCTCTCTCTCTCTCTCTCTCTCTCTCTCTCTCTGTATGTGTGTCTCTGTGTGTGTCTCTGGGGCAGGGTTTGAGATAGGGTTTCACTATGTAGCCCTATCTGGCCTAGAACTCTGCTCTGTAGACCAGGCTGGCCTTGAACTGAGAGCCATCTGCCTCTACCTCTGCCTCTCTTTCTCTGCCCTCTGCCCAGATTAGATGCCTCACTTGGACCTTTTTTTTTTTCAGATTCTTTGTATTTATTACTGAACCAATAAATTTGCTCATGAAGAGCAGATTAAAAAGAAAATCAGGATGGGGTAGGGACTGGAGAGGTTCCCTAGCAGTTAAGAACACTTGCTGTTCCTCAAGAGGACCCTGCTTCAATTCATAGCACCCTCATGGTGGCTTATAGTCATTCAAAACTCCAGTTTTAGGGCATCTGACACCCTCTTCTGGCCTCTGGGCACTGTATAACACATAAAATAATAAAACCGCTTCTGGTCCTAGCCCCGCCATCACCTCTCTCTGCTTCCCTGGGCCTGCACCACCGGCTAACTCTCCTAGCCTGCACTACTAGTCTCAGACCTCTTGGGGTAAGTCTATAGTGCAGCCCTCCGCGCTGGGACTCCCTAAGCCACATTCACCCTTCCATCCCCCCTGCGGTTCGCTACTCCTAGTTTGGGCCCTGCGCCATTCCTAGTCTTGGGGCCCCAGACACCTGGGGAACCAATACTGCTTCCTGACCCTTCTCACCCAGACCAACTCAGTGCCTTTCTTGGGCCCCAGGAGCACCGCTTCTGGTCCTGGCCCCGCCCTCATCTCCCTCTACTTCCCTGGTGCTACAACACCTGCCAGCCTCTTTCTGGGGCTGACAGCCTCTTTCTGGGGCTCCGAGGCTTACCTTTACTCTCCCTGATCCTTTGCATCTAGTACAACCCAGCCAGAACAAGGGAGTCAGATCTTCTGTAATGAGTTACAGAAGATTGTTAGCCGCCCTATGGGTAGTGGGAACAGAACCCAGGTCCTCTGGAGGAGCAGAAAGTGCTCTTAACTGATGATCCATGTCTCCAGCCTGTACAGGTGGATCTCAAGAGCAGTGTGGTACTTGTCCTCTGCCCCCTGTAGTTCCTGTCTGATCACTGCTGCATCACTGTTCCCAGCCTTTTACCCAGTGGTGACTCAGAGCTGCTGAGCCAAGAATGAGTTTGGCCATTGTTGCTTTTACTTGGAAGTTGTTCTTGTGTTGAAGAAAGTAAGCCATGCAACCACACCAGGAAAGGCCCTCAACAGAGTCAACTGCTTTTCAACACAGCATGGATCCTCACAACCTTTTGTCAATCTCGTCAGCCATGTTTAGTTCATACCCTAGCATGCAACATTGAGGAAGACATGATTGGAACATCTTACCATTTCATTAAACAGGCTGCTCTTACTCTTTCCTTGCCTAGACTCTAAGAAGACTTGGAAAGAGAGAAATGCCTGATACATCTGATCTTTGGCAGATAAAGTTGATAATTAGAGTTTTTCAGCTCATGAAGTCACCAGGAGAGGCTGCAGAACCATCCTAAGCGGGGGCTCTTTATGAACTCTGAGTTCCTTCCTGTAGTAAAGTGCACTATTGATAGCACCCTGGATCAATGGCTTCAAGGTATGGTACCACTGTGCTAAGGACATCCAAGGATACACTTGACTGTGGCTGCTTTTAGGGTAAAGTTGACTGAGGTTTTTCTAGTGTAACAAGTTTTTTGTGGCAAACAAGATAAATCTTAGAAGCCTTACTGTTTCCAGTTTGATGAATTAGACTCTACTATTTCAACTTCTTTAAAAATACATATGTTTACCTGCTTTAGAAATGGACTTACTGAGTGAGTACTTCTTGTTTCAACTCTGGGTCAGTGAGATCCTTGGATGTCCTAAGACAGTGGCTTTCCTCCTGTAGAAGTACTGACTTCTGATAGTTACTCATAACTTGTAGAACTGGCTCTGACTCACGAGTGTTATGATTGGTGGGAATGCATCTAATGTTAGCTGTACCTGAAGTTGACTTTCAGCAGTGAATTCCTACATCTTTATGTTCCTTTAAACTTCATTCAAATACTTGGATTAAATATCTGACAGCAGCCTGCTTTGAGTAAACATACTAATAAAACAATTCCTTGCTTCATCCTTTAATGCTAGTAATCAGCAGAACCTCAGAATTTGAATGTAATCCCAGCAGAAGGTGTCTTGCTGGGATACTGGAAACAAGTTTCTATAAAACAATTAAACCTTAAAGCAGCTTGTGGGGAATGTATGTGGGAAGCAACTATGTCAAGCACTGTGTTTTATTTACTAGCTGT